ATGTTCTTCTACGTTGTTGAGTTGGAGTATAGAACAACTATATGCTACCTTTTCAGGCTGGATTAGCTGTTGTTCTCGCACTTCAGTATATTGTCTGAACAACAGGTTGAACCTTTGTGTTGTTGCGCTGCTTGGGGCCCTTTTGAGTCTTGGAGTAGTGCTGGGCGACATCGACATGGTTGAATTCACATTGAATGGCATCCTCTCCAGTGCTTGAGTCTGTTTGTGTGAACAAGGCATTAGAGGATCTTACTGCACTTCTGCAATTGGCTGCAGCATTTGGCCGTAGTAATCGCTGCTTGGGGTCTCTGTGTGTGTGTGTGTGTGAGTGTTGTGTGATTATTTGTCTGTGTTCGTCGGGTTTTGCCATCTTGCGGAGCATCCAGTCGATACAGGAAAAAATGAATTCAGATGCTGCTCACTTCCCCAGGTGTTCATTGTGTCTTCCCATTGAATTTTAGTGAAGCGTAGTCAGAATAATCTGGATTTTCTTCCACTTTTCTTACTGAGGGTTTGATATGAGACTTTTGATAAAAGTATGCATCACAATGTTTTCAGTCCTGTGCAGTAATAAGAGAAAGATTCTTTGAAAGCATGTTTGATTTGTGCACGCTTTGATGAACCCGTGTTTACCTGTGCTCTGTGTGTGTTCACGGCATTTTATCGAGCGTGTGCAATTAGCGGGAACAAATTAGCGTTGAGTGGTTTCAACTAAGCAGCCAGATCATCTGCCAGCACCAAACGTGAAACGCTTTTAACAGACGACTGGTGGACCGTTTTCTTCTACTCTCATAAATCCACCTGTCCAAACCAGAACCCCATCTAAACTCTCATAAAAACAGAGACTTTGTGTTCGTGTGTTGGACACAAGGTAGCGCAGTGGGGGCTGAACTCTATTTGGGGCCCAGTGTTAGATTTGGGGACTTATTTAGTGAGTTTCTCGAAAACAGAGCACAGCAACTTGTTTTTTTTGGCATATATTGATTATTTTCTCTTGAACAAAGTCTCAATACTCCTTAGTGACTCTGCAGTTTGCTTGTTGGATTTTCTATTATTATAGACCTGTTTGAATTCATATACAGACTTATACAGACACTCCCGTAGGCAATTTCCAGCCGTTCCAACACACATTTTGATATTCAAATACTTACATATACATACATATTAGCACATGACATCTTGGTATGATCCCTATTAACTTTTGGAGATTTAACTACTCTAACTACAAAGAGTATACAGTGCCATTGGGGCCATTTAATACAAACTCTTAACATAACGAGGGGTTATGGTTGAATCCCTCATGTCTCATAGTCAATTTCTCTGTAGTTCTACTCCATTTGCCAGGTGCCTTTAAATCTCCTACAGTATGCGGCCATGCATTTCTAAGCGATGAAACTGAATGAATTCCACAGCCGGGCTTTCTGCAGTCAGCTTTTCTGTATAAAATGGATTGCCGGGACTCTCGTGAGAGCGTATTGTTTGTTCCGCGGCATCATCTGAAAGCAGTTTACCTGCCGTTGCCATTTCCCATTACGCCGCGGTATATATTTCATTATTTTCCCCGCTATGTTTGTTCTGTTCGAAAGCGGGGCCCGAGCCTCATCAGCCCAGTGTCACAATCAGCACTTCCCTCCAGGGAGGCCGCATTAGGACCACTGTTTTACGGCTCCTCGGTCCATCAGCCCTGTTTCTTATTCACAGAATGGAGCGGCTTGTTAAATCCACTGCCCTCCCTCCGTCGCCTCCATTACTCTCCATCTTTCTTTTTCTCCGTGTGTGTCTCAGACCAGCATGCGCCATGATCAGCTCTGTTTGGAACGATAAATCAAAGTGATGCTCTGTGGCTGGTTGGCCAAGTGTCCAAGGGAGAAGCCAGCGTGCTTGGATCAGACAATCACCAAATAAAAACAAAGACGCCCCAGTAATTTAGAGTTAAAAAGCTGTTTGAGATTGTGGATGCTGCAGTGCAATCTGTGAAGGCTCACCTGTAGTGATATCCTCATCAGCCCATAGATATGTCCATCCTCCACTGTATCAACTAATCTCTACATAGAGACAGCTGTTTCCTAGTTCCATGATAGCAGTCTACAGTACTACATACTTCATACTTCATATTCAACCTGTTCTTACTTCCAACTTGTCAAACACCCAAGCTTGATCTGCACCAAGGCACCCTTTAGCATCTGCATGACACCCCGAGTTCCAACTAACTCCAATGTAAACGCGTAGAGCTAGGCAGAAAAATCATGTATCAAGATATTTTTTACCGAATACCTTGATGTCGATATTGTAACAATATTGTCGGTTGAACATTCGTGCATTCATAAAATAACAGTGACAACGAGAGGTTTTGATAAGTAATCTTCAGTAATGGGGATGTAATGACTAATTGAGTAAAGGCAAATCATAACAACTAGACCACTCCGGTAAGTGAATGACATCACTTTACTGTAATGTAGCCTTAAAATCCAGGAAAAGACAACACGTGCCAAATTAAAGGCTACTTCAGTGTGCCTGCCTATGTGTTGCTGAATTTGTGTATTTTATTACAATATTAAGATATCCAAAATTCAAGACGATAGCTAGTCTCATAACGTTTAATACAGTACATTGTGCATTTTGAGATTTTTGAGATCTCTCACATTTTGTTGAAATGTTTCGATTTTTAAGGAAATGCCACTTCAGTTTCCTTTTTTTTTTTTTTTTTTGCAACATGTTCGGTCTGCAGACAGTGTGATCCTGATTGCATTTTGATTCCCAGGACCTCCTGCTGATATCTGATGTCTCAGAAGGATGGAACACATGTCGTGGGCTGCTGATGTGCATTGTTCATGTCGAGGACACTGTCAAGTTTTTGACACAATAATAAAATCACGAAGACAGGCAATTTTCCTTTTTGACTAAACACTATTTTTGTTAAATAATGTGTGCCTTCCTGGATGCAGATATATTGCTTACTTGTAGTCTTTCTCTCTGTGTGTGTGTGTGTGTGTGAGTTAGGGGTTACTACAGTGTGCCTGCTCATGTGTTACTGAACTTATATATTATCTACACTTCTGCATTGATGGTGCCCATAAAAAAGGGAAGGAGGTGGAAGAGGGAGGGGGTGATGACAGGCATTTTGCTCCAGTCAGTGATCTTCAGTGCTGACAGGGTTTTGTTGCCTCAGAATTTAAGTTATTATCTCTCAGCACAAGTCAAGATTGTGAAATTGATTCAGCTGGATCGCTGCGCTCGAGCAGACGGTTGTCTTCTGCAATCTGCAGCACTGTGACAAGTCATAATTTCAGTTGTTGCTTGCAGTATATGTTACTAGGCATTCCTTGCAAGTATTGTCAGAAGAAGACACGGGGAGATTAATGTAAGGGTTAGCATTATTTGTGGTTCACTGAAGAGGAGAATGGAAGTATATTGAGTTTGCATACCGAGCACAGAGCTACTTTGAGAAGTCTTTTCACTAACCTTACACGCAGAGTCAGCAGAAAGGACTTCTGAAGCTATCGCGGTTTGACCTTTGAGATTTAGATGTTTTTTAAAACACAAGAGGGCCTTTATAGGTGTGAAAAATGCCTTAATGAATCCACAACAGTACACAGAGGTTACAAACGCTTTGAATATATTTAACATCAAGAACAAAAATAATACAGATTGCGATGGTTCTTTGTGAGACTAGGGGTTCCATTAAAAACCCTTTTCATCCAAAGAACCCATTTTGGAAGATGGAGTTCTTCAAGGATTGTTGAAAGCAGGAGTTTTAAAAGGGAACGCCCACAATCCAGCCCACCAAGCCCCAAAAACTGTGATTGTGAACCATGATTGTAGGGGTTGGGCTGCACCACAAGCCCCTGGCCCTCTAGAGTAGCTACCCTTGGAATATTAAAGAGTTCTCGGTAGAAACTCCTGAGTGGGTTCTTGATAAAACCTTTGGAAGATAAAAGTGTTCTTGGTAGAACACCTTAGAAGTTACAAAGGTTCTGAATAGAACCTCCAGAGAGGGTTCTGGGTGGAACCATTCCCAGATGGTTTGATGTATAACCAACATATAACTCAACAGTGTTCCTGAGAGTATTTATTTGTAAGAGACAAACATTGACCGTTTCAGAAGCAGTGTACGATGCACTGTACATTCCCAAAAGCAGTCCCTTGAGGGCATTGAAGTAGTCATTCAAATGACATGTTACAGTTCATCAAAAATAAGATCAACCATCCATGACAACACTAAGATAAATGAAACAAACAAAACAGAGTGCAAAACATTTATAAAAGTGTCTACTGTACACTAATAATGATGGTTGTTGTCATGATTACTGTTCTGGCCAAGTTTGAACCTGTTGCAGCTCCTGAACCTGCTTTAAGCCTGCAGGTTGAGGATTCCAGACAGTTTCATCTTTAATTGAGAATGTAGTTTGGGCAATACATCTTTGAATTGAACACACTGTCTTATCAGTTTTTAAATCGGCAGTGTTTGTTATAATTTCTAGTCTGGAATGGAAGTCAAGGTCCTCTTCGTGTTTGTGCTGCACAAGGATAGTTTGATCATTAAGAGCTTCAACCCCGTTCGGTCTGATTTCTCCGGACCAGCGGGCACATGGGAATACATTGATCTGCAGAGGGATTGCACATACAGCGAGCTATCAGAAGGCAATGAGGCACAGCCAACAGCAATTTTCAGTAGAAATGTCTTAGTTGTGTGTGTGTGTGTGTGTGTGTGGGTGTGTGTGGGAGGGGGGGGGGGGGGTTGGTCATTTGGGTTTTTTGCAGTCTGCAGCACTGCAAAAATTGGTTGCTTCTCTGTAATCTTTCATTTTCTCCCGAGTTGATTGTGTCGTACTTTATTCACTGCTACAACCTCACACTGTGTGTGTACCATGCATGGATTTATGTTTGCGTATTCTATGGCCTTAGAAAATCTGATTAAATTGATTGAAGATTTGTGGGTACTCTTTTTGTTTACATTTTTGTTGTGTGTTGATAACGTGGTTCTCCTCTCCCCTCCTCAGGTGCTGAAGGGCAGTAAAAAGCTTTGCCTCTCCGTGCGTTCAGTCGGGCGGATTCCAGGTGGCTATGTCACCAACCATGTTTATACCTGGGTTGACCCTCAGGGTCGGAGTGTGTCCCCTCCTCCGGACCTGCCTGAGCATCGGAGCGCCACGCTGAGAAGAACCGACAGCCAGCGACGCAGCAACATGCAGCTACTGCAGGAGGGAGACGAGAAGAAGGTGAGGCTTTACATGGGAAACACAGCACTGCAGTGCTGGAATCATTGAGCAGTGTTTCTATCGCCTACTTCTTTTTTAAACACAAATATCCCTTTTACGTTCATTAGAATACTATCAGGGGGAAAAAAACATTATTCATATTCGAACCGTGTGTGACGACTTATCATTTCAATATTTTATTGGTGGCCATGACATTGATTTGTCTAAAACATTTATTGTCCTTTCCATCCAAAATGCACTTTTAACAGCTTCTGTGTGCAGAAAAATGCTCTTAAATATCTTTAAAACTCTGAGAGTTTATGCTAAAATATCTAAAATCAAATATTCATGACCAATGAATGAATGAAAAGGCAAGCTAGATTTAGCTGAGCTAGAGTAAGAAACAAAATCTAAAAGTGTTTGATCCATAAATCAAAAATTCCATGAAAAATAACTCAAAAAAACATATCCAACTTCCTCTAAAGGCAGCATCAAAAGTGTTGCTGCTGTAACAGGCGTCATGCTGTGAACGGACCTTAAGACTGAGACGAGACGTTTTTTTCACTGCTTATGAGGTCCTTTTTGCTGTGCGCCTTTGTGTCTTCGAACCTCTGATGTCGACTCAACTCATGTAAACTCCTCCCACTCATCACAATTTCTCCTACACTACCCATCAAAAGCAGTTCCTGAATGTATCTGAGACAAGAAATAGTCCATGCATCTGCAGAATCACTTATATCACTGATATCTGCATCGTCCATAGTGGCTGTGAAACAGGTAAAGTAGTTTGGATGGTCTCCAAATCACGTTACCATCTGAGTCAATAGGTGTATGACCAGGGTGACTTTGATGGAAGTCAGGGGGAGTAAAAGTGAATTATAATATAAGACTCAGTAATGGACAAAAGATGATGGATGTGAAAGAAAAAAACAAAAATTTTAACAATAACAGTAATTGGACCTTCAGAGCCACAGAACTCCACCCTGTCAGCACCTGGCGACCTGCAGGGAAGGAGCTGTCAGAGCTGTTTTAAAGATTTATTACACTAGAACTTTCAATTTTTCAGCAGCTGAGAGCTACACATTAATCTTTTTTACTGCTTCAGCTCCATTAATACAGGCTGTAGTTAGTGCCATGTAGATAACATTTAGAAAACATTTATCCAGTTTATAGTAGATCGTTTGGCTATTTTACCTTCTTTCAGCTTTAAAAAAGAAATGCTATTATTTAGGCACTTTCAAAGATCATTTAGATTTAAAACAGGTAAAGCTACTTTCAGGAGTACAGCAGTGCTCATTGTAACACGTGTAGTATAATTCATGAGTCCCTCCTGTGATTACATGCAATTGTGTTTGTCCAAACAAAGGCTCAATGAATTCCATTGCTTACTAAACAGAGACACCGGACAACTGGGAGTCCTTCTGGAGACAAAGAGCATGTTGAAGTGATTCCAGGATAACAGCTGATGCCAAACAACACTATGAGCTGCTATGTGCCGCCAATAAGAGAGGGATTAGTCTGGTAATTAAAACCATGTCCTGAGTAAATGTCACAGAGAGCGTGAATTCCTCCATATTCTCACTGAGCAAAGGTGGCTGGCTTACCTCCAATAAGCAGACAGTTGTTGTTAAAAAAAGGAAGAGCTGCAGTGCCATATGCTTTGGGTGAAAGTGAGATTCCTGAGCTAGATGCCAAACCTACACCAGCTGGAAAGTAACAGAAGCGAAGCTGACATTGTTTAATAGAGATATTTGCATATATGTCATCTTGTGCTTGCTAAGGTGCTACTGATTTCTCTTTTCAATCTTGGCGAGAGACAGCTTCATCAGGATGAAACCCAAGTAATCAAGAGCCTCATTGTGATGGAGGAAAGTGTACAATTTAAAGTTTGGCACGGCTCAGCCACCGCTGAGACTCTCCCAGCGGACAGACTTTGTTGTGTCCTCTTTGCGTTCTGAACAAGATTTTGAAATAGTGAGTTGAGTTCATCAATGTAGCCAGTGAAAGATGGAGGAAGCACAACTCTTTTAAACGGACGCCCGGGTAATAAATGCATTTTGAACCCGAATTTTAATATTTAAAAAGTTGCGGTTTCGGGTGTTCGCGGAATCCCGAGTAAACGTTTGGATATCATTAGCATGTAATGTTGTGTGCCGTGAAGAGAGATGGCTCTGGCACTATAAGATTACTGAATTAAGTCAGCTAAGGGCTCAAGGGCCAGAACAAATAGCTGCAGAGTTAAGGGACACCCTTGATGAGATGACCCAGAGGCACCAAACCAAGAAGAGCAGATTATACTTGATGGAGTCACTGCCAGTGGGTGAGAATAAAGCGGTTTTATCAGACAAATGAACCCTTCATCAAACCCTATAACCTCCGGAACAGAGAGCAAATAGGCTTTCATAGATCAAGGCATGAGACAGCAGCTGGGAGGTCAAAATATATATAGTTATATCTTTACATGCCAGGTGCAGTTCCTAGTTCTACGTCCTGCTTGTCAGAGTCACTCTCAGTGAGATGGGTCGGCTCCACTCTACTGTGAAGTGCATCACATTTTACTTCCAAAGTTATGTCTGACTTGTGCAGAATTGGGAATAATAGGAGTGGATGTTGCCATTAATCTGTGTGGGTTGGCTCCTTAATCTAAGAGGTGGGTTGTGAGCAAATAGCTCCATCACTGAGTTCTTGTTGTGCACTAGCATTGTCTGAAACATATTGTGGAAGTATTTTAAAAGTAGCGTTAAAGGTAAATGGACTGTACTTTTCTAGTCTCCCGACCACTCACAGCGCTTCAGCACTACACGTCATCCTTCACCCTTTCACAAACTGATGGCAGTCATACAACATTCACACACCGTAGCCACAGCTACGGGAGCAACTTGGTGTTAAGTGTCTTGCCCAAGGACACATCGATATGGACTAGCGGAGCCGGGGATTGAACCGCCGATCCTCTGACTGAAGGACGACCCTGATCTACCACTGTCGCCCCACAGTGTCTCACCATTATTGGAAGTGCGGCTTGTGAACGCTCAACACGAAGCTGTGTGTCCTCCAGACTAGAGAAACAGTGAATGTTAGTGGTACCGTGCTGGATGGATTCCATTTCAACTTCTTTCAAACCAGTTGAATACTGCATTGTTTACCCTGGTCCTAACTGTTAGTCGCTTTACAATCGCAGCATCTTGAGAGTCAAATTAAGCTTCAGGTGATGAAGTTGCAGTGATGTTTTCAGCAGTAACACAAATGGTAACATGAATAACAGTATTGGAAGTAGTGGAACTTTCTTTTGCTTTAAAATGATATAATTTGATGTCACATACATAATGTATCATAGTGATAATTTCCTTTAATTCAAATTCAGGAGTTGTTTGAAGAGGTTGAGAACTTTCCATTTTGCAGCACACGATTAAATACCTTGTCGAATAGGCATTTCTACAAAGGCAGATACTGGAGTCGGTTTGGCACCGTCATGTGTATCCTGTAGGTATCTTTAGCTCCCCGCAGCAGTGTGTTTATTTGGGTGCTATTGTAGTCGGGGTGGATATTATGATTATTATGGTTTGTTGGTTATTTGAATTCTAACAATGTCGGATATTGTCCGCTGTGCTTATCGGGGCGATTGACACAGATGAGCGCTGTAAACAAACTGATTGACCAATTCAAGCATTCGTCCAATCAGAACAGATTCCAGCCTCCTCATTAATGGCTCTGAGTCACCAGGTTCAAGTGGCTCCTGAAACTCTCTATTCTCCGCCGGCTCAGAGCAGGGCTGTCACTTTGTCTATGCATTGTGTTTCACAGCTCCGTTTTCAGTGTGAAAAAGCCTGACACCACAGGTGAGTCTGGCAGCCTGTCAAGCAACGCAATTGAGACTGCAAAATGAAAATTGAAGAAGTGTCTGGTTCACACCATTTTTCGATATTTAACCCCCGTTTCTGTGTCTGCGTTTGATAGGTCAACTTGGTGTTGGATGACGGCCGCTCCCTAGGTCTCATGATACGAGGGGGAGCAGAATACGCTCTGGGTATTTACATCACCGGAGTGGACCAGGGATCAGCAGCACAGTGTGGAGGACTCAAGGTATCACTTCAATCTCTCACTCGCTGTCAAACACACACACACACTGTCTCACTTTGACCTGACATATGTATGACATCTGTGATATTTTGGTTAAGATGTTAGTTATTGTAATGCTTTGGTCTTTGAATTTGTGCTTGCAGTGGACACCATACACACAACAGCTCTCCCATATTGAGCCTTCTTTTTCTGAGGCCTGTCACCACACTGCTGCTCACACGGTTTTGGTGCCTGATACACGTTTGGTCAAAATATGAGACCGAAAAATTGTTTGAAACGTCCAAGATGGCATCTTCAAATGTCTTGGAAAAACAGCAAATTTGGAACCGGAACAGAAGCTGTGAGTTTTGCTGAAAAGATTACTCGCTTAAAAATCCATTAACAAAATAAACTAATTATTTGAGCTCTATAACAACCTGTAATACGTTAAGTTATTAGCAATAACCTGCGGACTTTTGCTAATTCAACATGCACACTTAAATTGTCAGAAGAACTCGTAACCTTTTGTAGTGACTATAACTGTTCTGTTTTTTTTTTATTTGACAAAGGCATTGGCTCCTGAGAGGGAAGAGATTCCTTTCACCTGCTGTCCTTACAGGGATGTCAGGCCACCGGGTCGGGTACAGAGCAGCTGGTGGGGACTTAATATAGGACAATAAAAGTGATAAAAAGCCGCCAGGGATCGGGCTGTCTATGATTAGATCTCTCTCTATCCGGGGGGGACGCCTACTACTCTCTCTGTGTAGAAAATCAGCATCTCTGACCAGTGAGGAAAGTTCCTTTAAGATATTTTTCTGTCACAGTGACATGACAACAAAGGAAGAGTTATTCCAATATGCCACTTTCTTGCTACTTTGGGCGATTCTCTGTCAAGCTGCCATTCCCCTTCTTCTTCAACATATGGGCTGTCAAAAAGTAATGGCTTCAAGGCGTTTTTGAAGAATTTAAAAAGTAACATATGCTGTTTGTTGGATACATTGCGCTGTGACTATACTCTCATTAATTTGGGCATTAAGTCCCCGAAAGTAAACAATGTTGTAAACAATGGCCTTTTAAAGACTTTCACCATTTAATCATCTCTGAGTGATTTTAGTATTCCCTCTGAGAAGAGGCAGTTGGTGATGAATAAATGAACGAATGAATTTCAAAAACTTCCGTAGTGACCGTAGGAGATATTTTGTTGTTTTAGAACAGAATTATCATAGTTTATAGAAATGCAATACCGTGCTGATACCGCCAGCGTTGTACCCGTTCTGTATCCGACATCCGCTGTTTGTCACTATTAACAGAGACTTCAGTCTGCAGTATATTTTACATTCAGCTTTATGATCGAAGAACATTTTTGGATCACGTCTCCACCGACGCATCTGATGTACATACCAACTATATGTTTCAAAATGCAGGACAGATGCACCATAACAGACCTACATTGGGTACATTTTCAGGTATCCATCGTCAAGAGTGCACAGCCGCGGTTGGTTTTGCTTACAGATGTGTGTTTGTCACGGTTACATGGCAACAGAAGGAGAGTGAGGATGGATGTCTCCTCCCCGGAGCCCTTCATCTCACGCCTGTTAGTGATCAGCCTGTCAACCAGCCAATTACATAGACACCTATTAGAGAGCCCACACCGGCGCACACTCGGCATAGCAGCATCTTAACGTGGATGGTTGTTAGCAACTAGAAAGGCTTTTTATTAAAATGAGAGGACAGGAAAGACAGGCGGTCGAAAAGGCTTTAATATCCTGTGATAGGACTTGCACTCTTCTTTCTTTATCTTTATGTTTCTGCTTCCCTCCCCTAAAGTTATTTTCTTTATTTCATGTGCATGAACTACTTAACACTGCCTCTAGTGCTGTGACGTGCGTTTTAAGGAATGTGTTTTGGAAACTCTCAAGTCTGGGTTTTCAGACCTCAAATAGCCTCTCTTTATCTGTGCCCCAATGTCCTTTCCTTTTCTCTGTTTTGGTGGCGGGCAGCTCAGTATTTGGAGTGGAATTTTGTCATTTTGAAATGCTGGAATGAATACGAGCCAGTAGAGCTTCCAGTGCAAACACATTTGTACTTGGGTTCAGTTTAAGGAGAAACACAAATCTTAATAAATCGCATTTTACAACCTATTGCGATGCTTTTCCCGCCTTTTGTTGCTTTGGGTGATCCTCCAGTAGATGCTGTAGGGGTGTAAATCACAAGTTTCATCTCGATGCGATATTATATCAATTCTCTGGACAATGATACGGTGTTTGCTGAAATCTGCTACAATACAATTTCAATTTGAGTCAATTCGGTGACCAGCGATCAAAAAGCAACTAAAATAGGATTTGACTATTTATTATTGGGCTTTCCAAGTTTTTCTAAATAAAAATAATGAAAATAGTTGTTGTTGGAGTTCTGGATGCTGGTCAAAGCTGGTGAGCAGCTTGTCTCTAAAATGAGAATAGAAAGATCAGTCCACCTTAAGTGAGCCTGGGCAAAATGTGTCGCCCCCTTCCCTTTAATCAGCAGGTGGCAAGCAGCACACAGGCTTGGATCTTGAGGAGTTGTGGCATTTATTCTACAGTCACGCACACACAGCACTGTTTGAATGTTTAGCAAGGAGATGCGCTTGTATGTAAATGGAGAAACAAACGGTCCACGGTAATTTCAAGATAATGCCACGTCATAAAGATGTTGATATGTATCAATGTCTTCTCTTCGCATCGCTTATATTTGACCCTTTAATCGATACATCGGTCCAGATCGATGGAGCGTTACACCTCTAGTAGATGCCTGGCTTCACAGGCAGGGCCAAATCCTGGCCACATCCATGGACAATCTCACACATTCAGGCTCGGACATAGTGTGTGTGTGTGTGTGTGTGTGTGTGTGTGGCAGGGAATGTGTGAGACACACAAATGCCAAACCGAAGGTCATGGTATTTAATACTCTAGGCTGGTCATTAAAATGGGTCAGTAACATGCCTTTAGAATATCTCATATCTCCAAGGAGTTCATTATTCTATATAACCCTCTGTGTTGACATCAGCAGTACGGTATCTGGTGCTTCTGCAATTCTTAATGCCCCAAGCAAGATCACTAAAATATGTGCCCTGTAAACAATGTCCTTCAGGGTATTACGAAAATGCACTGGAATTAATATTCAGAATCCAAGACCCAAACTACATGTCCATGACCATGTCGCACAACGTATGAAACAAATGTATAGTCTTTGAATGACATCTATGGACTTTTACTTTTCACACCAGGTCAGCTGACTCTTGCATTTCTGTATTTTCTTTTAGAAGACCACCGAGGTGACGCACTCTGGGTCCGCTAGGGATTTACTTTTCCAGGTTTTTATATGTTTGGATAGATTTCGTGACCGCGACAGCGAAAACATCGTGCAAGATGCAGTCACGAAACTTTACAGGTGTGTGGTTGAGATCAAAATGAAGACAGAGTTCGAAGATGGGTGTGGCCGAAGCAAGTGTGCAGGAAGTAAGGGGCTAGGAAGTGGGGAAGGGGCCATTGATCCCCCTCACACACACAGACACACACACACACACACACACACACACACACACACACACTTTACTCCCGTGGCTCCATTTGGCAGCACAGCTCTAGTTCCTCTTTTTTTGTCCTTCTTAAATAAACCACGCTTAAGTGTTTGTAGCCTCCGTTGTTTAGTTGTTGGCAGCCTATGAAATTATTGATTCCAATTTTGGCTTCATCGGTGGATGTTTGTCCGTTGCGCATGTGGTGATTGGTCATGTTTGTCATGTTATCTTACTTCCGACCTGTAAAAAAAAACGGTGCAAGTGGAAATGTGTTAAGTTGGAAAAGTTGAATCTGCATAACTTTTTTGTAACATTTCTATAATAAGAGGAATGTAAAGGCTAATAAGAGTAAAGAGAATATGTAGGTTTCAGTTTGCCTTGTTACTGCGCTGGTTAATGGGGAATCTGGAGAGCATCAACAACTGTTTACCAGCTGTTTCGTAAAAATAAAAACAAACATTCAAATTATGTTAATATTAATTTATTCATGCCTTGTTGTCAGATATTCAATATTTGCGCTGGCAAATGGCAGCACGGTTAACATTTGGATGATGAGCCTCCACTGTCTCTAGAGACCAGGGTTCAACTCTCAGCAGGGGGGAAAGCTGCACTGCTCTCAGATTAGACACGTCCTCTCCTAAAGGGACGTCACATTGTGTGCAGAACGGTGACCCGTAGTGTTTGATCATTTTAAACTGTACAGAAGGATCCCTGCCTGGTCATGAATTTTTAAATTCCGTCTTTAACGTCCTCGGCCTAATGTTGCAGCACCAAAGCCTGGTTCAGCCTGAGCCCTCATCAAACAGGGGGAAGTGTTTTGTCTCAGGGGATGAATAAGAGAATCAGAATCTGCTTTATTGGCCATGTACGCGTAGCGTACACATACAAGGAATTTAACTCTCAGCGTAAATACACAGAATATACAAATAAACAAAAAAAACAAGGACAAGAAAGTAGAACAGAGGTAAGCATAAACATTTAACTACGATGTACAAATATAAATACATACACAAAAGTGTGTGTGTGTATATATATATATATATATATATATATATATATATATATATATATATGAACATAAAAAACAGAATGGAGGTAATAGTGCAGCATGGAGGTAATAGTGCAGCATGGAGGTAATAGTACAGTATGACTGATTAAGTGTTCATCAGAGTGACGGCCAGTGGAAAGAAGCTCTTCTGGTGGTTTTGACGTACAGTGTGGAAGAGAAGTTGGAGCCTGACTGAAAACACACATCTGAGGATACTACACTTCTGGTTGATTTGTTTCCAAGTGCAATGACGCCCCCTGAACCTTTCTAACTGAGCTTGAGGAGTGGGAGGACTGCCTGTGTTAGATTCTGCAGTCATGTACCTGTACAGTACAGTATGTGCATGAGAATGTAAGCTGCTGTTAAACTTGTCTTTGACCAGGGGAAAACATTTTGTTCCAAACGTGGCCTTTTACA